AGATAACTTTTTCGTGGTAGGTTTTGTGGGGCCAGATGTTGATTTTCAATGGGGGTTGATGAATGTTTATGAACCCCAAACTTTTGCTTTGAAAGAAATTTTCATTCGTGATATGTCAGATTTCCTTCTTAATTTTGACTATCTACTTTGCTTAAGGGGGATTTTAATTTTATCAGATGCCCGGACGAAAGTAGTCATAGTGGGGCTATTATAAATGCTATGCGTCTTTTTAACATATTTATAGAGTCCCATGATCTTTTAGACCTGCCTATTTCACAAACTGTCTTTACGTGGACTAATGGAAGTACTACGAATCCGTCAATGTCTAAAATTGACAGGTTTTGGTGTCTGGAGAGTGGTCTGAATTTTTTCCTTTACCTATGTTAAAGCTTTACCTAGGCTATCTCCGATCATACCCCTATTATGTTAGCTCTAAAATTGTATTGGGGGGTCCTAAATTGCAAGAGAAGGAAGTTATAGACATTATTAGAAGTTATTGGGAGAATACTATTTCCTTTGGCTCTTAAATGTTAAGCATAAGCTTATTGCTAGGAAAAAAAAAAAGAGATATTTTGTCAAAGGAAAAATTGAGGAAGTGTTAAGGAGTATAGAGGAGGTTGACTTAATAATGCAACATTCTAGAGTTTTGTCTGAGGAGTTGATTGTGGAGAGACGATCTAAAACAAATGAGCTACAAGAGCTTAGAAGGGTTGAGATTTACTGGAAACAAAGATCTAGAGTGAAATGGTTGAAGGAGGGGGCTCTAAATACCAAGTTTTTTCATGCCACAGCAAATGCACGAAGTCGTCAGAATGATGTTTCTGGTCTTTTGATCCATGGAGTGGATCTTGATGACAGCAATGAGATATCTAACGTCATCATCAATCACTTCCAAAAAGCATTTTCTTTAGAGGTGAAATGTACCCCTCGGTTAAATAAGGTGGAGTTTAATGTCTTACCGTCAGATTTAATGTCTTTTTTGAAGAGAGATGTCTCAGTAGATGAATTAAAAAAAACGATCTTGTCTCTATCAAGTGATAAGGCACTTGGACCTGACGGCTTTCCTTTAATATTTTTTCCATAGGTTTTGGAATTTGATTAGTGGAGAGCTATTGGAAATGACTAGGGGGTTTCTTAAGAGACGAGAATTTTTTAGAGGGGTCAATTCCACATTTATTGTACTGATTCCTAAAAAGTTAGTCATTGTAGATCTTGGAGACATTAGACCTATTAGTCTTCTGACAAATCTTTACAAAATTGTGGCTAAGGTTCTTGTGGAACGGCTAAAGGTGGTGCTACCGGTTATTATCTCAGATCCATAGTCAGCTTTCATCAAGGTTAAGCTGATTTTTTATGGTGTTATGGTTGCACAAGAGTGTATACATTCAAAAGTTCTTAGTGGTAGCGTTGGGGTGGTCATTAAATTGGACAAGGAAAAGGCGTATGACATGGTTGAAAGGAGCATTATTACCCCTTTCATATTCATTATTTATGCAGAATACTTTAGTTTACTTTTAAGAAATGTCGAAAGGATGGGGCATTTTTTGGGCTTCTAGATGTCAAGTGAGGGACCTTGTATTTCTCATTTGCAATATGCAAATGATTCCTTATTGTTCTGTGAGGCCGAGGTTGATCAGATTAGCAACATTAGCATACTCTTGAGATGTTGTGAGGTTATCTTAGGTCTTAAGGTTAATTTTGAGAAAATTGTAGTAGTTGGCATTAATTGTAGTGATGATGAGGTCCGGGCAATTGCAGAGGTGATGGGGTATAAGGTGGAGAATTTTCCAATCAAATATTTGGGGATGCCAATCTCGGATGATCGACTCCCTCTAGCTTTTTGGCATAAAGTTATCCAAAGGATCCAAGTAAAGTTTGATCTGTGGAAATTTAAATACCTTTATTTGAGGGGAAGAATAACTTTTGTAAATGCATGTTTGTCGCATTTAACAATATACCAAATGTTCATTTTGGAAATCCCTTCATTGGTGGCCAGGAAAATCGAAACTTTAATGAGAAACTTTCTTTGGGGTTCATATGTGGATATTAAAAAGTATCATCGTCTTAGATGGAATAGGGTGTGAGCACCTAAAAGGGAGGCAGGTTTAGGAGTAAGGAAAATTAAACTTGTCAACCAAGCCCTGCTTTGTAAATGATGGTAGAAAAGTTGAAATTTCAAATATCATCTTTGGTACAAAGTGATCGCTTCGAAATATGGTAATGATAGATTTAGAATATGGGTTAGTGCAAGGAATGGTACTAGGGGGATATCTTACTGTTGGAGATCTATTCATTCTTGTAAAACTCTGATTCACAGGGACATTTGATGCAGTTTAGGCAATGAAAGCAATATCTTCTTTTGATACTACTAATGGTCAGGTGCTTCAACTTTGAAATATGTTTTTCCACTTGTATTCCAAAGGATGGATAACCCCAATACTGTTGTCTAACCCCAATGTTGTGTCTTTGATTACTTTGAGCGCAGGGATAATAAGATTGTATGGAATATTAATCTTCCATACAATAGGATTTCAAATACTCTCTTTTCTGAATTATCTAATTTATTGATGTTATTAAATGAAGTATACATCCCTCAAAATGCTGCTGATGATGTTGTTTGGGATATTGATAAAGATGGAGTTTATTCAGTTAAATCAAAGTATCAGTTGCTATTTCATGATCGATGGAGGTGGTCCATGCTTGAAGTTGTCATTATTTGAAAGTAGCCTTTACCTCTTAAGGTGTAAGATTTTTTATGGTTCGCAGTACAAAATAAGGTCTTAACTGTTGATAATCTCATCAAGAGAGGTAAGATCTTGCTAAATATCTGTTTCATATGTAAGGAAGATGGTGAAACAAGTACTCATCTATTTCTCCATTGTCCATTTTCTTATAGACTATCGAGCTCGTTTTTTTGTTCTACTTGGGATAGCGATGTTAATGCCTTCAAAAGTTGAGAGAATACTTTCAAATTTGTCACTTTCTTTTTTACCGCAAATAGGCTTGGTAATTTGTGGCAAATCACGAGAGGTGTGACTATGAGGGAGGTGTGGAAGGAAAGGAATAGGAGAGTGTTGATGGGATAAGCTTGCCCTTTAAGAGAATTTTGGAGAAGATCTTGCACACAATTTGGCTTTATCTTTCGATTACAAAGTTGGGCAAGATATATTGGATGTTAGAAGAAATTTACGATGGATTTTATTAAATGTAGGCCTAAAGGAAGATGGGTGGCCACATTGTTGGGGTTTAAGCTCAACTTTAATGGTAGTTCGTTTAGCGGGGCTTTGGAAGAGTGGTTAGAGATTGGATTGGAAATATTGTTTTTATTTATGCAGGCCCTCTTAGGGAGAGAACTGCAAATTATGCAGAATTCTATGCACTTCTTCATGCCCTGCATTTTTTTATGGCTAAGAATTTGAACTTTTTTGTATTATTGAAGGGGATTCCTTCAATGTCATTAACTGGTGTAAAGGGGAGCAGAAGCTGTCTTGGGAATTCAGGATTGTGTTGCTACATATCTTGGACCTATCTAGACCTTTTAACTTCGCTTTTGCGTATGTTAATCGGAAAGCCAATATGTTGGCAGATTTTCTTACCAAGGGGGTACCTTTTTATTTGAGACAGTTGTCTCTGACTTTGTAATATCTTTTTAGTCCCTTTTAATATAGTATTTGAATTCCTATAAATTTTTTTTATAACAATGCTTGAAGATATATTTTTACACCATCGTAGGTGTTTCCAATGCAACAACTACACTTTTTGGCCTGATTTTGAGATGCAACCATAAGCCTAGGTGCCATGCTAGCTGCACTCATTTATCAAACCACAACTAAAGGTACCTATTTAATTAACTAATTATTTAGTATTCCAGCAATTTATCAGATCGTTTTTTAATGTTAAAATATAAAAGAAAATTATCAAATATTTATGTATATTTTTATTTTATTTTTAAAAAAATACTAAAAACTTAAAAACAATGACTATACCCAAATTCTTTTAACCCAAAATACACAAGAACTGCCCATTATGGCTTTTGTTGGGCAACATGGGCCTTATAGGGTTGTGATGCCCAAGGCTTCTTTCCCTTGGGTGCATCACAATTCTATTTGGGCCGTGATGCCCAAGGAAAGCCGAGATCCTAATTTTTTTGTTATGGATGTAGTTCGTAAAAATCTTTGATATTTTTGAATTCTATAAAATATAAAGATATTTTTTATAATTCTCAAATATAAGTTCATTGTGTCATCTGATAGGCTTTTTGAAATTAAATCGTAAAAAATTAGATCAATATTAAATAGTTTATTCCTTAAGAGTCACTTCTTAAATTTCTTTTTTTTTTTATAAATCTATTTGGAGCTCAAAAACGATAAAAGAATTCCCCACCTTCTTTGTCAAATGAATTCTTCATCGATGTTGATTTTAGATTGTCTCAGATGAGATGAAATTTAGGAGATTTAAGAGATCAAATTTTTAATTTTTTCTTTTCAAAGTGAGTCACAAAATGAATCAAAGATGATTCGACATGTTCAAGTTGATAAAAATTGATCTTGAGGAGCCCTAGGGTTAGGACACGGTTTAGATTGAACAACCTTGTCTAAGAGCTAAAAATGAACTTTATTTTTAATTTTTATTTAAATTAATATTAGTTTGAATTTAGGTTTAGCTAGAATCAAATAACAATATAAAAACACGGAAAAAAATATTAATAAAAATAAAATTTACTTATTTTTATTTAATTTTCTTTAAAAAAATGCACCTAAAAATTCAGATAAATATTATATTTAAATAAAAATAAAAAGACTAAACATATAATTAAAATTTTGCCGTTAGATATGACTAAAGGAAATCTCAACGGTCGTGCACCCTTCCACCCATCCACATCACGTGGACGGGATACTTTTCCTTTGATGAGAACACAAAAGTTACCTGCATTCGACGGTTCAGATTCATTTGGTGTTCCACCTCAGTGGTCCTAACTGTTGGGTCAGCCCCAACGCCAAAAACCCTATCTCATTGTGCGAAACCACCAAGAAGAAAACCCTAGGTCATCTGAAAGGAGGAGGGCCATTTAACCAGCGAAGAGGTCAAGAGAAAAACCCTAAACCTAGCCCATAGTGAAGGAACGAGAGCTCCAGAGAAGCGCCAATCCTGATCTTGGCAGCTCCATTTTTGCGAGCTCAAGAACCTAACTAGACAATGGTACACAATTCTTCCAGGTTTTTATCTCAATTATGTCAAGTTTCTTATTATTATTATTTTTTTTTCGTAATTTTATCTTATTTCATTGTTAAACCAGGCTCCTAAGAAGGCGAAGGCTCCTCCTCCATCTTCAAAGCCTGCAAAATCTGGAGGTGGAAAACAAAAGAGGAAGGTGAAATTTTGTAAACTTTTTTTTTGGTTTCTTATGTTTCAGATCTGTATCTCTTATTTATACCCGACATTTACAGAGATGTTTTGTCAAATATATGGTCTCCTTTGGTTTTCGGATGATACTTAGTGTCACTTATTTTCTATGACTGAATTTAGCTTTTTTCTTTGTCATTATGTAGTAAAACTGAAATATTTGATGCAGTATTTGATGATTTTGATTTTGGTTTTGGTTTTGGTTTTCGTTCTATACTGAGTATTGTAGCGTGTTTTTGGTGAAATTTAGGGTTTCTTTTTTTTTACAGAAATGGAGCAAGGGAAAGCAAAAGGAAAAGGTGAACAACATGGTGATATTTGATCAAGCAAGTTATGACAAGCTGCTTTCTGAGGCGCCAAAGTATAAGTTGATCACCCGTTCCATCCTGTCTGATAGATTGAGGGTATGCCTTGGACCTCTAATCTTTTCATCTCTTCCTTTTTTGTTTTTGCCTGATGAATGTGCTGATTTTTACCATAATGTAAATAAACCATAGATATTTCTAGATATGATATTGTGGGTTGTGTTTATTTTTCGAAGGGGGGGGGGGGGGTTGTTTAATGGGTCAATTGGCGTTGGCGTAGATGTAAACAGTGTTTCATGTGTCATGTATCTTTAAAACAATTTACTGCAATATTGAAAGGCATTCTTAGAGGATATATTCTTAGTTTCATTTCCAATGGACTTATGATGGAAGACCGTCCTTCTATGATGGCTTGCTCAATCTAAAAGTCTTTGTGATAGCGCTAGATAGTGTGTGAATTTTAATAAAAGTGAAATCGAGGTGGGAGTTCAGAGACCCTTGATGTTAGAATTTGTGTGCATGCCACGTTGTAGGATAGAGCACTTATATCCTGTTGATTCTTAGACCTTTCATGTGAAATTCAAATCCTTTCTATTGGTCATGGGCTCATTATAACTAGAGACACTATTCCTATATCCCAATTCATGTAGTTTTCATGCTACATCTGTGCTAACATTCTTCTGGAGTAGTCTTTAGGGGATGTTATTTTGGAAAGGTAACAATTGAGAGAGGTGTTGTTTTATGGACCGTTAGATTGAATTTTGAGTTCAGTTACTTGTTAGTTAGAACGACTCTGATGATTTCAGGTGGGTGTTTATACTTTTATGGTTTTCTTTTAGGTTTTTAGGAAAAGATTTGTGCCATGGGAAGAGATGAGAATTTGTATCCTGGGGAGATATGTGAGGTTTAGGGTGAGTCTGGAAGGATGATCTGGTTTTGAGAAAGTGGTCTATTTGAGTGCTTTTAATCAAAAACCATTTTCCAGTAACTTTATTTGCGAAACAGAACTTTTTATGAGTTTTTCAAATAAATGGGTTTTAGAAACATGGCTTACTCTTGTGTATGCTGTGGAGAGGACCAAACTTATTCACTAGAATATTCAATGACAATTTATTAGAAAAGATACTTCGATCATGATTAATGGTTTCCCCAAACAGGAACTTAGATTGTAAGAGTTTGATGGTCGGGCGTGTTGATGTTCTTTACTTGAGTCTTGGATTGCTTTGAAAAATTGTGCGCACTTTTTTTGCAATGAGCCTCTAGATATGGGGCCTTTGATGAGGCGTAGTAAACGGTAAACCACCGATGTGTTCCATAAGGCTGGACTGTGTGAGGGGGAACTTTGCCTGGTATGCTTGGTTCTCCTGGAATGGCAGGTGAACATCTATTCTGTAGTATTGTCATTTACCATTGTGTGTACTATTTTGCTGATTGATACAAATAATAAAAATGATATTATCTGTGGTTTGATCATTTTGTTGAATAAAACTATAAGGCCATTGTCACCTGATTTATTTTATTCGATAACTATCAGTTCAAAATAAGAAAAATATTGATATGAGTACAGGGATGTACTCAACTGCAATAAAAAACTGAATGGTGGGTGTATAGGACCCCTGAATCCTGACATGGTGTCATTTATTCGTCTCAGGGTAAAGAATTTGTGGGTTGAACTCAAATTGCCCTATATGATCTAGAACCTCTTGGGGGATCCGGTTTAGGGAAGGCCCAGAACTGTATGATTCCCACCGGATTTATTTTCCTTTTTTGTGTTTTTTTAGTTGTATTTGTACACTAATCCTGATCGGTGAATTGCCGATCTGGATTGGTGAATGGGGATTTGGTGCCCTGATGATTGAGGGGACTGCTGATTTTTAAATCCCTGGTTTGCATGAAGGATACAACAGGCTTGATGGCTCAAGTATGTTGCTGGCTGCTTCTCATTATATCTTTTTTGTTATTGGATAAAAACTTTTACATTGGTGTTGTGTGATGCTGACTTTGAAAGCCTATAATATTGGCTTCTGTTGACATTATTGGTGAATATTTAGCACTCTTTGAATCGCTGTTGTGTTATCAATATGGTTTTGGATTTTGTGAAAACTAACCTAATCTGAAAATGCTCTCATCTGCCTGAGCACCCCAACTTTCTTTTAAGGGCTTATAGAATATTCATACCATTTCTTCTCCTCCGAATTTGATCTTAAAATTTAATGTTTCCTGAGAAGTTTTGGGTGAATAAGATTAGGCTTTTGTCCTCTGTCCTTATGAATCTAGTGGATTATCACTGTCTTGAATATGATTTATTTGGTCACTTGATCTCAGATGGTTTTCTTTGTATAAAATCATGCTATATTGGTGTGGTTTATCATAAGTAACGATTGTGGATTGGTTTTGCGTTTGTTTAATAATCAGATTAATGGATCTCTCTCACGACGGGCAATCAAGGATTTGATGGCACGAGGTTCCATCCACATGATTTCTGCCCACTCTAGCCAGCAGATATACACTCGTGCAACCAACACATGATTTGATACGTCTCTTTCTTTTTGGTTGTTTGAAAACAACACTTGAATTGGAATGTCTTTTTCTTTCGCTTCTATTATGAGCAGTAATTGCCTGGTTTTGAGGCCCAATAGGGTTTTTGTTCGTTTAGCTACTTTTGAGTTATTTGACTAAACAAGTTTTGTTTCCTCAACCGATCAGGACTGGCTATTTCTCTTTTAGGGAATTTGAATTAAACCTGGAATATTAGTTTAATCTGTTGTGGTGAATTCCATAATCCCTGGGTTTCTTGAGTTGGCAGGGTTTATGGAATTTATGGCTGTCACTTTTGTGATCCATTATAATTTGTGTCGTATGTTGCATTTTATTTGCTGTTAGTTTACGTGATTGATCTTTTGGATGTGATATGCCTTTAACACTGAGGAGCCCTGATTGAGGTTTGGAAACCTGGTTGTTCTTTGAAGACATCATCTCTTCCGAAGCAGCATCAAAAGAAAAAAAAAGAAAAAGACATCTCTTGCGAAGGTTTTAAAATGATTCTCTCTGCACTTGGAATCCATACTTGTTATTATCGGCATGTTGGGAATTTTTTTGGGATGTTATTTTATTATTATTATTATTATTTTGTGGAGCTTATTGGACGACTACTTCTTGGTAATATATCCTTTGAGAAATGATATTGAGAAATATGTGAAAAATTTCAATTTATAAAATAAGAAATGTTTTTGTAAGTTTTGAAGAAAAAGTATACAAGGAGACCATTGACCTTTGATACAAGGTTGTCACAATTAATCTTGATCATTGGATGTGAAATTTGACGGTTGTATTTGTTCCATTGGCCAAGCTCAAGCTTCAAAAGAAGTTCTTTTGAATTTTGTAAAACACCAAACTTATTAGATTTCACATCTGATGGTTGTAAATATTTGTGATTTCATTGTATGAAAACTAAATGAGGTATGAAAGGAAAATGATTTCATTGTATACTTTCTTTTTTATATTTGGAAAAATAACCCCAAAAGATCTTTAATGCGGTTTACTTTTAAAGTTTTCATTTAAGGAGGCACCTCTTTAGATTGACATGAGAAAGAAAAACAATGGTTTGCAAGTTTTAGGAATGGTAAGTTTTGTAACGCATTTTTTAACCGTCAAAGATTTTAAAGTTTTTATAAATAAATTGATCAACATTATTTTTAAAGCTTTAAATTTTGTAAATAAATATGAAAATATATTTTAAGGCTATCACAAAGGGAAAAAATATATATCCAAATGCAACTTTATATTGTCGCATCATGGATGCCTCTAAAAAATTCATCAAAAAAAGGTATTAATGTTGCAAAAAACCTTTGGATTGATCATCATCTTGACATCGAGATGTATGATTGAAAAATAAAAAGATTTTAAATCTAAGAAATAATGTATTTTACAATATATTATCAATACAGTTTATTTCAAAATTTTTATATTTTTATATATCTATTTGATTTTAACCATTTTTAAAATTAAAAATTTTATAATTAGATATAAAAATAGATTTTGAAATAATCCTAATAACATTTTTATACCGTAACAAAATTTGAAGGCACATACCCTTTACAGCTAGCTACGGAGGCGTCCGTATGCCAACTGCACCGGTAAAAGAATGAAGTGTAGCGATAAATAAGCGGGAGGTTAGGCTTACTATTCGGACCGCACCACGTGCATAGCCATTTACAAGATGGGTTGGCATTGTCAATGTGGACTGCACATTATCGACGTGGATGGTGACTCGACGGTGATGGCATGCAAACGCGGACCGAGTTATGGAAAGGAGGGCGTGCGAGAGCGTGGCAACTGACATATTAAATGTGCAAAACACGTGTTTATTTGCGCTCACCGTCCATCTTCCGTACTCACAGATGAGATAATCCCCATTTTTTTTTAATAGGGGAAGGTTCTCGCTCCGCTACCCTACCCGTCCCTTGCCCTATGATTCAGGAGAAGAATCGTATAGAATGCATACCGCTCTTATCTTTTGCCCTTCCCCGCTTCCTCCTCTCCGTTGTCCTCCGAACGGTAACGAGGGACAGAGCGACTGATCTTCGCCCTCTTTCCATTCATCCATCGATATCTACACCATCAACTTTACAATAGTTATTTACAATAAACGATCGAGTCCCCGGGATGGTGGAGCCGAGATCCATCTGCAAGAATTCTTTGCAATAGAGGTGGTTCGAGGAGGAAAGAAACTTGCAGTCGAGGTGTAGAGAGAGAGGAAGGTGGTTTGAGGAGGAAAGAATTATTTGCAGTCGAGGTGTAGAGAGAGAGGAAGGTAGTTTGAGGAGGAAAGAATTATTTGCAGTCGAGGTGTAGAGAGAGAGGAAGGTGGTTTGAGGAGAAAAGCCTCCATGGCTGCTGCCGGTGGTGGTGGTGGTGGTTGTTTTGTGTTAGGGCCGTCGAGTAGCAGCGGCCAGGCACCATCATTCCCCAACGTCCAAAACTTCAACCATCCTCCTATTATTATTGGACCGCTCAACCACCACAACAACAACAGGCGACTGCGGCAAAGTGGTGGTCCTGTTCGGGCTGGCCCTTTGACAAAAAAGGTGTGTCCGGGATTCATCACTAAACAACAACAGCAACAGCAACAGCAACGCAATGGAGGAGGAGGAGGAAGCCCCTTTTCTCTTTCTTTTACCACCAATACTACCGATTACAAGAAGCACAAAAATCAAGACCCTGTCTCTTGCGAAAACCTGGATCAGTGGATGGTTGACTCCATACCAGAGGTGGGTACGCGGTGCTTTTCCTTGCTGCATGACCCTTATTATTTTGTTTTATAATTTCTGAATTTCTCTCTGGCTAGTTTGTCTAAAAGCTTCTTCTAATGCATATCTGTCTCACAGATTGTCCGGAACATAGGGAAAGCGCCCTTCTTGATATATGTCTATTCCCCAATGGATGAGGAGGGGAGATGGCAGGAGATAGTAGGCATCGATTCTTGGAATGAAATTCGAAGATCGCTGAATGAGAGGGGCCCTGATGGCGTCATTCTAGTGGAGGAGCTCCTCAACAAACAAGAAGATGATGATGATGGCGAAGGTCAAGTGGAGGGGGCCTGTTCTAGGTCTAAATTGTGGGGTTTATTGATTCAAGGGAGCGGGGCTGATGATTCCTGTTCCTCCTCTCGTTGTTACATTTTGGAAACTACTCGAATCTGCTCAACGGTGGGCTTCTGTACTCATTTTTGTTTAGCCAAAGCCAAGTGCTTTGGGGAAGCTGCATCGGTGCAGCTTAGAAATTCATGGTTACACAACAAGTGATCAATAAATTTATTCAAATTCATAGTTGGTTGATTGCTTAACCAAACATTTATTCAAATTCGTAGTTGCTTGATTGCTTAACCAAACTCAATTCATAATTGCTTGATTGCTTTACCAAACTCTTACCATAACCAAACTCTTATCATTGTCATGTCTCCAAAAATTGGAGACCGGCAATTTGTAAAGAAAGCCACTCGCACGATTCCTGAGGTTAATGCAAATCATTCCACACATGCTTCAAGGATATAACATTTGGATGACCCACCCCTAAGTGGGATATATATACATATGGTTTGATGCCTTGTGTCGAACTTGGTTCAGGAAACTTGAAAACATATAGTTTGATGTCTTGTGTCGAACTTCGTTAAGGAAGCTTGAAAGTTGAAATTTCGAAAGATTTGAAGACCCATTGTTTCTCTCTTTTGTAACTTAAACCCCTCGAGGAAGCATATTCATGTCGAATTTCCATTAACTGCTGCGGTCGAGGAGCTAGCATCTCTACAGTCAAGGAATTCAACAAACACCCATTTCCAGAGAATGAACAAGGGCACTTCTATTTTGCCTATGGGCGAAAATGAATAGTGCTTTCGCCTATAGGTTCATTACTGTCCAAAAAATCGGACGGCATGTATTTTTTGACCATAGACATGTTAAGTCCGTAACAATAAAAAATTCACATAGAACTGCAATAGACAGTATGTCGTCCATTGTTGGTCCGTTCAATGACGGTCATGGACATAGCAAATTCGTAGGGTGGTAAAATACTGTAGCACTACACATATAAGAATCGATTTGGATACTCTAAAAGGTAATTTGAAAGTTGGAAATTGCACTTTCAAACCTCACATAATATTTTAAATACCGTATAATATGGCTTAGGTAGGTTTTATGGTATTTTAAGCATCGTAATATCAATTTAAATTATTACGATAGTCATATTACTTGGAAGGTTATTTTGATCACAAAACAATCAAAATTGAAGGAAAACGTGTGGACGAGTTTTATGAAAGTTGAGATTTTTTTCTAAATAGACGAAAATTAAGGTATATTTATGATAATTTCTTCTTTTTTTTAAACCTTGTATAGAAGATATAGATATAAAAGAAGAAAAGATATAGATATAAAAGAAGAAAAAGGTTATATAAGGATGCAACCTTATAATGTAAAACTACAGGTGCTCCTAAAAAATCCATCAGAAAAGGTAGTTTTAATGTTGAAAAACCTTTTGATTGATCCATCGGAAAAGGTAGTTTTAATGTTGAAAAACCTTTTGATTGATCATCTCGACATCGAGATGTATGATTATGAAAAATAAAAAGATTTTAAGCCTCAGAAATAGTGCATTTACAACATATTATCTACACCGTCAATTTTCGAGATTTCCATATGTTTATAGATCTACTTGATTTTAACCATTTTTAAAATTTAAAATTTTATAATTAGATATAAAAATAGATTTTGTAGATAATCTTAAAAACATTTTAC